CTTTAGGTCTCTGCTCATTATTATTTTTACTCCTAAAATATCACTACTATTTTGATCAATAAAAAAATATATCACAACTATGATAATATGTATAATTAACTATGTTTTAGTTGAATTTATGAACTGTTACAATTGACCCCGTAAGTGGGGACAATTATAACAAGCGCACGACTGTCAAAAATTGTTAGTAACTAATATAATACCATTTAAAATAAGGTATTTATTTTTCTAGTAGATGATAGTCTACTTTACTTGTCTGTCAATTAATACTAGTAATATATAGGATTTTTTGTTAGTTAAAAATAGTTAAGTAAAAAATGTTACAATTGACCCCATTCTCCCCTACTAAGTATTTATTTTAATATCACAACTTTGATGAGATTAAATTTACTATACTAGATTTTAAAAATGCTCCATACTCTCAAACATTTTAAAGAAAAACTCAATAAATGAAAAAATATAAATTCTTAATAAACTTCCACTCTTTCAAAAGAGATTTGTTCGTAAAAGTTTTGGTGAAAATTGGCAATCAAAAATCATTATTATTATTTTAATTTTTACATTTTGCTTACTTTGTTTCTTTCGTGAGAAAAAAAATTTCGTTATAAACGTATTTATCTAATATTTCAGCACAAAATATTAAAAATAAATTTAGGAGATTGATGACAAAAGACTTGTTAGAAAATAAATAAATAGTGTGTGGAGTCTCTCCAGAAGGAAGAAATGAAACTTCGTAATGTGGAAATGAAAATAGGAAGGGGTAGAAATTGATTTTTAGTGAAATCATAATGTTTCTTTAAGACAAACTTTATTAACATTGCTTACAATTCACAATTGATCGCATCTTTTAATTATCATTTTCGAGTGGAGAAATATCCAAATCTATAACATATACAATGGGAATATGATAACTAAAGTAAGATACGAAATGTTTTAGTTCTATTTTTTCAATATTTCTTGCAAAAACTGCATCAGTGGTAGTTCCCCCTTTGATTGCTGGATCATTCCTACTATTTATCATTTCCAATTCAAATGTGTCTTTAAGGAAGGTTAATAATGTTTCAGCTTCAGGTAACGAGAAATTCACATTAAAATCTCCTGCAAGGATCACAGGCCGCTCACAATAATTAATTTCCTCACCAGTAACGTCTGCCAGAGCTTGTGAACCTGCTGTGGATAGTGGAAATAAAGATTTTGCAATAAATAATTTAATATCCCTCATGGTTGCATTTGGTGAAATATAAATGGCAATTAGAATCAATTTCTTCTGATTGAAGAACATTTTATTGAAATTACATACATTTGCTGACTTGTGTGCTCAATATAGGCTTATAAGTCATTGTCAAGTAGAAAATACAGATAGAACAATTCAGAGAAAGACATCACAAAGAATACATCCAGGGTTACGGCAGGATTCGAACCCGCTACCTCCACGCTTAACAAAGCGTTTGGACCGGCAATACCGCTCGGCCAGGGAGGCCCCATTGAAGAACACTGAAGTCAAGCATCCTTTGATCAGCCTACGTAGGGACCAAGGGTGTGCAATATCGATCCTCGTAAAACTGTTCTACCGTAAAGTACTCGACTTCGCACGCAGGTCGTCGGGCTATCAGAGCAGGGGATCCCTTCTGCAGAGGATCAAAATTGCAATGGCATGTCTTTGAATCATGACAGTGATGCTTCCAAGATCGTCTCCAATAACTCATGTGCAGCTGTAGCGCTACGTAAATAAAGTACCTACCTAATTATGTTGGTCAAAGATAATTTGAGAGCTATGGTGGCCCAGTGGTTGGAGAATAGACACAGTTTTTAAGGAGCTAGGTTCGATCCTCGACTCCGCTAAGACACACCGCGATATACGTTCTCCTTAATTCGATGGAATAGGAAGTCCTGTGGTTTGCTGCTGAGCAGTGAGTATAAGGATTGCGTGAAAATTTCCTACCCCTTGAGATATATGTCTAAATTGTGGAAGTGATCACATGAATGAGTGGTGATGTCGTGCATTCAAGGAGTTCTGAGTTAAGACTTACTTTAAACCTTGCGGTATTTTCTTGTTAAACAAAATTCGTACCTTGATTACTTGATTCGCAAAAAAGCAAATTGCTCTCGAGCTTGGATTATCAAAGTGTCCTTAGAAACAGCGCAACCAACAAAATAAATTTCCCATTAAGGGTTTCTCCTTTGGTGTAGCATCCTCTTATAATATATCCCGTGAAACATTAAGAATGAATCTTAGTCATGTTTAAACATATGTGGATGCCCAATGCTAACACCTCGATTCGGAGATGAAGAAAAGGCGTGTGATAATGTAAAATTTCAGAAGGGGGCCAAAAATCTCTTTGAATTTAAAGAAAAATATTGAATGGTATATACTAATAAAACATTTAACTCATATTATAATTTGTTTTTGAAAATAAATTGATATTATTTTGTTAAAAGTACAGATTTTTCAAAAAAATATTGTTAATTTTTTTTAATTGTCAAAAATAGAAATTTTAATAACCTGAAAGTTCAATATTAAATTTGTTTGAAAATGTTACTTAATTTGTTTTATAAAATATTTAGTTTTAGCTATGTATTTTCCTGATAAAAATGTAATTTCCTAATCAAAATTATATACTAATCTAGTATCAGAATTAAAATTTTAGTAAACTTAGTCGTTACCCCCGCCTTCCTCTCTGCATGAGACTGTTGAATCTTAGTACGTAAAAATTCATTTATTAGATCCAAAGTTATTTAATGCATAACTTTTTTATTTTCAAAAATTAATTTAAAAATTAATAATCAAGGGAATATCACTGCAATTATTGCAAATCCGAAAACGAATTCTGTAATTTCTGCACAGATTAATTAAGATACAAGGTTAAAATCTGATAATTAGAACCAAAGTTATTTTAAGTTAAAACTTTTTTTTTAGTTCACAGTACATTAAATTTACGCATTTCTTTCTCAATTTTTTGGGAATGTCGTGAATGCAGTATTCGTTTACAAATATGATAAGATTTTCATGTCCGTGATAAGATTCATGCATGTATTCGAATTTGTATTTCCCCCAAAATAAGAACAACACGGAAAAGTTTTCATGAACAATTTTTTTTAAAATTACATATTAATTTATTACAACAAGCTTTCTAAAAATGCAACAAATAGTTTGATTTCACGTAAAATATAACACTAACCATAAACTATTGCATACTTATTGGAAGTATTTTGTAGATCATTTCCAATGGAATAGTGTCCAAAGAAAATTCATCAATATTTGAGTTCGTCAAACTATTACCATTATCTATAAGTCCATTTGCCAGAAAGGTATTTTCTTTCTCGACCGAGGACTTTATGCTAATTTCCTGTTTAGAAATTTCTGAGAATGTGTCTAACACTGCATCAGTAACTATTGATGCCGACTCATTCTTAGCTTTTGCTGATAGAGTACTTGATGAAGCATCGGATAATGATAATTTTGAAGTCAGCATTTCATTCGATTGTGACTGAATTATAGGGATCTGTAATGTGAATTCATGTTGCTGCTCTACGAGAACTTTGTCACTTGAAAGTTCCTCTTTTTTTCCTGACTTAAGAGTTTCTGAATGCATGGCATCT